CTAAAAATCGCGGGTTACCCACGTGAATATAGTGAGAAAAGCTCTACTAGTTTCGAGCCACAGATCAGGCCTTCCTTATGAGCAGCGTGTGCCATCGCGCACAGTAGACTGCGCGACATCGCCGCGACCGCGCATGCGAGCAGTAGACCTTTACTAACTAACCCGCGATTTTTAATTAATAGACAGCAGTGTTGAAAATATCAGTAAAAAGACAATATTGCTAAGACTAAGCGATCTAAGCTAAATATGGATTGATTACAAAAATCGTAAAGTCTAAGAATACATTCCCCACCCAGATCAAATCTAATGTTCACAAACACACACAGTGAAAAACTATATCATGACTACCGCGAACTTGAACCGCTTCAACTTTAAACACAAAACAAATTACAAATGACTATAAAAAATCTTTAAACCATAGACCACTGTCACTTCAACAAGGAAACCCGTACATTAATCACTAAGTAGAGAGAATTGGCACCAGTTTAAAATGTAATTAGTATGAAGGTTAAACACTGTAATGTAGTAATGGATATCTGATCTCGTTCGTAAGTACTTACTGATCTTAATCTATTTTTTACGCGGTCAATTTGGCGTTAAACACTGCCGTAATTCTCGTGTAAGACAGATATTTGAAGCGTGATAAATACTTTTGACTGAAGTATTAAAGTTTTGGAAGGGAGACAAGATTTTCACCCTGCATATATAGAAGTATTTTTTTTTTTCGAATAAAGAGAGGGGAACATCGTCGAATGTCTGCTCCCGCCTGGGTGAGGCGGGAGGGAGTGTCAGACTCTTACTGACTAAAAACCACCCCGTTCCTTCTCCTGTACGTCGAGCCGGAGCTCCGGTTACACGTTAGTTTCTCCACGGCCGTTAGGTTCTAAAGTGATTCATTAATATAGACATTTTACATACTGGTAAACGAAGAAAGATATTCGTAAAATTCAGAATTTTCGGAAATACATTGTACTGACCGAATGAGCGTCTGGTGACACTGTGTATGACTTTTTCATTATTGTATTTATTCTCTGATACTTATTAACCTTTTGATTACTTAAAAAACCCAATATTTAAGGTTATGTGTGAATCACAGGGTTAGGCAAGGACTTAACCTTTTTTTATTTATCTTTATATCACACAGGTACAACAGGTACAGGTACAAGTATCTTATAATCCTTGAAACACAATATTACATATTAGTACAACACATTGAAAAAAACGACCAAAAATGTCTAATAAATCACTTTAAACACAGTCATAATAATCAAATAAACACTACGCAACATAATAGCATCACGCCTATTATCCCCGAAAGGGTAGGCAGAGGTGCACATTGCGGCACTCAATGCTACTGCACAATGTAACACCCACTTTTCACTGTTTATGTTATGAGTCCCATGTAATAAGGGGGTGAGCCTATTGCCATATACCAGAGCACATTTCCAGCCTCCATGCTACTACTAAAAAACCCAGTAATACTTGCCCGACCCGGGAATCAAACCTGACACCCCTTGCCCGGCAGTCGCGCTTGTAACCACTCAGTCAATGAGACAGTCGTAACACACTACGTAACAAACTAAAAAAAACATACATTCTTCAAATCCAACTTGATAGTGACATCTTGGAAAACATACCTATGACTATAGTGCAGTTAGTAGGAAGTCGGTAATCTGTACAGGAAGTCATAGCTTCCGAATCAGTCATTAGTGACTCATTAAACATAGGTGTGATGCCTATGTATATGCCTTGACCTATCTACATAATGTATCCGCAATCTACGCTTATCTACGCATGTCATTGCTGTTATCTCTGACAGGTGTAGCTGCTGTTTAAACTGGCTTCGGCCATATTTGTTTTAATATTTAAAACTGTTTATTTGGGAATGAAAGTTTAATTATGTTTGGTATTTATTTTTTATGACGGTGCATAAGATGAATAAAAAACTGCAGTGCAGCAGAACTCCTAATGTGACGACGACAACCTGACACAGACGAAAAAAAATCGGGGATGATAACTCTAGGATTTGTCAAAAAAAAATATTCAAGTTAGTGTCGATGTCTTTGTAATTATAAACTCTTTTTTTTGTACCACAAGAAAAGCACACGGCCCACCTAATGATAAGTAACTCACTTACTCACTCATCTAAAAGTCTACAGCAAAATCATAAGTGGAAATAAATTTGTAATCGCAGAAAATATTCCTCATAAATGTAAAGACTGTTTTTCTACAATTTGTATGAACAATCGATAAAATATAATTGCTATAATATTACCAGACACAGTGGCGACCACAAACCTATTTCTAGGACATTTAATACAAATACTTTATTGTTCAGACTTGAAGCTTTGAGAGGCTAACAAATCAAAGTTATTATGCCTATTTGTTAGTTTAGTTTATCTCTGGTATTTACGAACAAGAAACTGTGATGGTGTACGTTTTAAATATCTTAAAATAATGAACGTTTAGACGTCGAATCTAAGGTCTCTTCTTCGGGTTTTTTGGACTGTATGCTGCATAAGCTCATACAAAGTTATGCTGCACCCATACTCTTCTTGTTTATGTTAAAACTATTGAACGGTTATTAAGAACTACCTCTGATATTGCAACTGCAACTGGACTGTAGATTTTTTGTTATGATGGTGGACTGACTAAAACAGTAAAATTCACATTTAGGAATCCGGAAACCGATGCTAAAAGCCATATCTAAATTAGTCAAGTCGTTTTGGAGATAAGAAGGACTATTTGTTTGCACACACAAAGAGTTTTGTCCAAAATATTTGTTTTCCTTTTCCAAACTGAATAAAAAGAAAGCTCAGGAAAAATCCTTATTCTTTGAGAACCAAATAGCATTTATTGTCCTAGAATCAATCGAGGCCACCTGACGTCTCCGATAAAAGATAAGATATCGCATGTTATTGTTATTTATTCATTGTTATTGTTACGTGTATCAGCCAAACAATATTTCACCCAAACATTTCTTTACTTCGATTTATCGTCCTAAATTGATTTTTGGGAGTTCGTTGAACCTTTAATAGATTTCCAATTTCGATCAATTGCTATAATAGGTATTTCTAGACTAGTACGTAGTTCGTCTAGCTAGACTAGAGTTTAGCAAACACTAAAAAAGCGTAGTTTTAAGACAGCCTTATATGATTTTAAGAACAAAACGAGCTGATGACAGTAATTTCAGACCATCAGTTGTTCCAGATCACATTCTCCATATTCTTCCAGGATAAGTTGATGACTTAGCGTATACCTAGTAAAACCACGAGCTGGTTTCACCCCAAACAGCAACATTTCAATCTAACAAGCAATTTATGATCACAATTAATCATGAAACTCGACCTTGCGAAGAAACTCTCGTAAATACGCCGGTTACTTGAATATTTCTGCTTCAATGTAATATTCAGTGGCCAAGAGGAGCGTTATCAACAATTCGTGCCCAGTTCCCGCCATTTACGAATGCCAGATGTGCTCAATCTTGTTTCTGCATCACGAATTTCTATTATCTATTACGGTATGGGAATTAATATATATCAGCGCTTTGATATTTTATTTCAATGCCTTTTGAAGGTGTTTGAGTGTTGCGGAGTTCTTTTGTTTTATTTTTTTCTTTAATACGTTGGAATACATAGCTGACGGTGTCAAACTTTCAGTCAGAAATAACATATCAATGCAGCCATAGCAACAAAGAGGGAGAACAGACACTTCCCATTATAGAAGGTACACTTTTGAAGGCAGAAATAGCTGGAAATTATTATTGGTCAAAGAACCAAACAAGACGACGCTGACGATCAATAGACAAAAAATCACAAATACCACCATTCTAATCAAGAGCAGCGTTTAAGAAATTCTCAGTAACCAATTCAAGGACTTGATCGACAAAAACTGAAGTGGAATACCACGAAACAGAGCTGTGATTAGGACATCAATTCTATCAAACTACAGCCCAAGTGTTTAATTACGTACAAGGACTAATAAAAAACACAATTTACTTCTAACATTCTGACAGAGTTGCCACGGATCGATGATCATAGTCTGGCGTCAGACATTAACATTTTTCCGTTGTAGCCGCCATTAATATTCATGGGTTCAATGTTTTCTGATTTCTGTATACGCCCAAACGACTATACACTTGTGCGAGGATTACCTTTGAACATCGGACATCGCATATGATTAACGAAATCACTGTATAAATTAGATCAAGTTCTGATTAGGAGGATGTGTTTTTACAATGCAAGTTTCCTTTTCATCGATTAAAGTCATGTTGTAAACATGTTGCAAAAATATGTTACTTACATTAATCGTACCAGCACATGTTTTCGCTACATAAACTACTAATAAATTATCGATCCCTGAAACTGGGTACAGAGAAAAAATTAAATAAGTGTATTATGTAAATTAATCCAAAACACGTAACGTCTGCAACGCACGAGGTTCCCAAAGCAATCCGTCAGACATCTTTAATTTCAGGTCAACGTTTTTATACATTTATATACGCGAAAGCAATACACCACTGCTTTCCCTGCGCTCGGATGAAATCATATTCTGTACAGCGTGAAAAGCAATCGACACCAGCTGCGCCGTAATTTACTGCAGACTGGTCTTTATATGACGGAGATAAGATCTAGAATTGTGCAGCATATGCTGCGTGGAGCGTGCATCGTTATAATAGAGTTGGGAGCGAAAAACTTAAGTTCCGTCGCTCCGTTGCGCGCGCCCCGACAATTTCATCGTGGATGTAAAGGTAAAGTAATTCACGCTAGTAACTCACTAAGTCTATATTTAATGTAGGCTGCTCATAATACACACATGATAACTTAGTAAGTATAGAAAAAGTATTACATTCACTTAGGATAATCTCATTCACGACAAAAGATAAAAGGGTCCATTGTGCAAATGATATTAGGAGTTTGAGGCGGTCGATTTTGGGACAATCGACTACAAAAATACATTTTGATATTCAATGATTCGATACAATCGGGTGAGTTCGAACAATGGTCGAAATTTCTTGCACGGCTCCAAGTCAACTTGATGCCCTTCTCAGAGCGCTACGAATTCTAGGAAAGCGGCAGCAGACGACAATACCGCAGAAAAAAAGACCGCCTACTTATCCGTTGAGTTGCGCTATAAACGCCCACTTTCTACGCGGGCAGCACAAAGCGCGCACGCAGATCATCTGGTCATATGCGCAGTGCATTGCGCAAACCGGATATAATTTTGTCAGCTGTCTGAACAGATTTTTGAAAGTCTCCATATTGCACCATTACGCTTTGTCCTCGAGTGAAAAGTGTGACGAGTGTCAGAGTATTTATGGGAAATGTGACCATTACATACATGGTGCGCCTATTTACTTTCACGCCACATTCCCTCAAGCGTTGAGATGATGATTCCAATAACACCACAAAGTGAGCCAAGGTTTCGTTTTTCCAATAATATTCCACTGCAGAGATTAATGAAACACGAGCTACAATATAACACGAACGTGTCTAAACATTTGGAGCGATATATGAGGAAGTGTTGCATTCAAATAAACTTAGTAGTACACAAACGTGAAACGATGAATCAGCAGCAATTGTTTTGCGAGTGCATTTTTTCTAACGGAATTGGGGCAGTGACCCGAATAAAATTAGCATTAAAATAACCGACATAAGACGTTATAGCATTAAGTGTACGGCTATGTAATTATGCGAAATACGTTCGAAAATGCTGCAAAAACTGAGGCCGCAGAACAAAGATCTGTTCTCCTTAAAACTGGTTTAATTAAGGCTACAATTAAGATTTCCTGCGACGGCAAGGCTGCTACCTATGCAAGTAACTATAAGGGCGAGATAAATACACGATAATATCAGGCTACTGGTTATCTACACTATGTTCAATTTGTTAACAATCCGGATTACTTATCCTTATTACTGCAGTCATTTTCTTTATTAATGAGTCTGCATCCGAAGCTTTGAGTAATGACTTGCTTATTATTTTGTACTTTTTACACAGTTAATAATAGCAGATTGTAGGTCTTATTGAAATATCCCAATTACAAAAATAACACGAGATTCAGACACGTAAACCTACCAACACATGTTAAAACTCGAAGCTATGAAGTCAAAACGCTACCGAAATACGCAAAACAGCAAAATCGGTTCGGAATAACAGAAATGGGCTCGCTCAGTTCACTCACAAAACAAAAACAGTGCATGTCAAAACAAAGGCTGTGAGTGCATAACGGTATATTTATTTTCTGACTAAAACCTGTGATAAATATCAGCATTGAATCACGGACTGACACATCGAAATACTGAACACATATAAAGTTGGTATCGTATCGACATTGGTTGGTTTATTTGTACAGTTTATGGAAAGGTTGTAAAACAAGATAGCTATCTATAGTAATTCAAATAAAATCGTGTAATCTTAATGGTTTGTATTATAACTAAGTGACGTTATACGCCTTGAAACACACCTCTGAGTGTATAAGACAGTTTTTATCTTATGATTGTTGAACAGTTTTGTATCCTTAGCTTCAGAAATTATCGGCTCTTTCCTTGCACAATTACTACAAAATATATTCTTAGTTGAGCGAAAATAATTTACATATCTGCCTACACAGTGCTATTATATGCAAATTACACATAGGTACTTCATTATAATATTTGTAATAACCAGTACGATTTTGACCTCAAAATCTAAACCTCTTAGCAATTAAAGAACCACGCTTCAATTGGAGCCCGTCTGGAGTCAAATGCATAAATGGACTCTTGAATACAAATACAGAAACAATACAAATAAATATGTATTGTGATGTACACAATAATAAAATGTATTCGATCATCTCAAGGGTTGCCAGCTGCAAAAATTAACAATGATTGAAGCACAGGTGTGCCCAGCATTCACAACATGAGTAGCATTGTTTTAATCTGTAATATAAAACATGCGCAGGCGCAATAATAAGCGACAGATGATGCAGGACGCACGTCAAGACTTTTTTGATCGGTTAATTAAAGGAAATTCCAATTCGGAGATATTTAATTTCCGTTATTTTTTTATGGTACAGTTATAAGGAAGTGCTTCATTAAATACATTTCTTGAAATTATTATTAGCTATATTTATACAGATAACAATTAACTACGAACAAGTGGTAATAAAACAATAATAAACAGTAAAGTCATTGAAATTAATGAACAGAAATCAAAGCTTTCACTTATAAAAGCAAAATTCAATAGAGAATATTTAATATTAAATTAATTGCGTGTGGGTTGTGGCTTTGATGATTTATTTTCAAGTGCTTAATTTATATGAAATCCTTTCAATTGATTTATCGAGAAAGTTTTGTATGAAGGATAATCGAGAAATTTGGTAAAGGTCAGACGGTAGGAATTCCTTTTCATTCGTCAACTTTATAGCAAGTATTTAATTACTGGACATAACGTCACGCCTACAGCATCAACAGGCCGGTTCAGTCCACTATCTAATAGTCTATGAGGATCCTCTACATAAGTATATTCCTTAAAAAAGGAGGATTCGCCATAATCATCAAGCTTGTCGTCCAGGTTTGAAATCGTAGTTCAAAAGATTAAGACTTAATAAAGAGCCTGGTCTCTGTAAAATGTGATGTTTAGAACTTGCAACGACACCCATAGGACCAGTAGAGGAGTTAAATCTCTGCTCCACCGTTCTTTATTTACTAATTGGATAGTTTCCTGGGTCAAAAATAAATTATTTTGATTTATCAGTCCAATTAAATATTGAAAAATAGTTACATCTTAATTTATTGATTTGCCCATATACTTATTTTTCGATTTATTCTAGCATTTTTTTTTTAGATATAAGTGTTGTATTTTGACGCGAAAATATGATGACATCATAAGATGGCATTTCGTACAAAATTCATAGGACAGTATCGTTTTTGACGTTTCGATAAAAGAATTGAATTTGACTAGTTGTCAACTACCGTAGACTCACTCATCTTGTCTTTGTCATACAAGTACCAAATTTACTCTAGAATGCTTTACAGCTTCTACCCCGGCCTCCAATCGCCACAGTAGTGTTACAATTTCGAAATCGAAATTCTCGCGCCCAACAATCGTGATTGCGACCAACAATGCAGTCGCTTAATTAATGAAATGAATAACAATAACATTGAACTCTTACCCTGTTCATATACAATTAGGGGACTATAAATACAAAGGAATAAGTGACTAATTAAACACTAACCTCGTAATATATAAGCTTTTTGCGTACAAAGAGGTCAAGTTATATTGGATTTTGAGTCTATATACCATGTGTGTATGTATAATCAAGTGTGAAATTATAATTTCTACTTTATTAACTACACATATGTAACGTCTGACCTTGTCTACTGGCTTAGAATTAATGGGTATTTCATTTTGAAGGTCGTTAAAGTGAAATTCTTCATCGTCACCACACTTTCGCTTGGTCACCACGCATGACCATGTTGTAAACATTTCATAAACTTATAGGAACGTAACGTCTTTTGTTAAGTTCGCTTGCGTTACGATTATTACCGTGCTTTGTTACGTTTTGTATGAACTGTTCTCTTTTAACTGAGGAATGGACCACGTAATAATACTTAATTGCTTTTTGTAAACCTTTTTAAAGGTAAAAATGAATTTTAAAAGATATTGCGCTTTATCTATACAAAAGGAAGATGCGTAGGGACAATTAGCATCTAAGTACGTACGATTATCGAAATGTCAACACATGCCTAGTAAAGACACTGAAGTTTGGGGAGATTAGACAAACGAAGGACAGTTACCTGGTTGACCAAACCATGCTGAACAAAACAACGGTAAATTCTAAACAAATATGAAAAACTAGCTTCGCCGGCGGTCCCATGGCATAAAAAATAGCCTGTGTGTTATTTGAGACCATAATCTACCCTTGTTCCAATTTTCATCCTAATCCCTTCAGCCGTTTTGATGTAAAACAGTAACAAACACACAAACAAGCAGACAGACAAACAAACACAAACTTTCGCATTTATAATATTAGTAGGATAGAACGTCAAGGTGGTTATTAATCTACTAGATCTTAATCCGTGTCAAATGATATTCAAACATTATATTAGATTCTATTATTCACGACTATAACCTAAAAACCTTAGCATTCTAAGCTTGTTCAGTGCTTCAAGAATCGATTAGGTATTTCAATTCTTGCCATTGACCTCCCGGGTCGAATTGAATAGGCCATAGAGATAATATAGAATAAGCCATCGATCATGGCTCATGATTGATAGAGGTAGATAACTACTTTTTTTACTTTGACATATATTTTTAGTTCTCCGTATTGTTGGTCTGATGGTGGAAAGTATTTGATGAATTCGCTCATTATTTATGACTTGGTAAAAAAATTTCGCTGTCTTGTAATAATGGGATTCATCAAAGGTTTTTGTTGTAAATCTAGGCTTTAGCTTTTTCTCTTCATGAAACTTTATTAGATATCACAATTATGGCTTTTCTACGTTTAGTAACTCAGAAAAATAACAAATAATAGAACATTTATTGTAGATAATTCTCATCTAATTAATAAACCATTTATACAACTGTATTTTTCCAATACAGTAACCTTTATTGATTGCAAGTTTCCAACAAGATACGAAGTGCATCCGGACAGGTATTTAACATTACATATAGCCTTCAAGTTAATATAAGCATACCTATTTAAAATGCACCTACAAGAACAGGTTTGCGAAGTTTCTCATGTCGATGAAGTGCATAAAATATGCGTTTAAAAGCTTTGAAACCACGATGTTCACAGTTTATGGTGACAAGTTCCAAATAAGTCGATCGTGGGATCCTTTCTAGTAGCTTCATAGTTTCGTATGTCTTATAGTAAAAGTTGACAAACGTCTTTTATGTGGTTGTAAAATTGTGTGGTGTGTATGGTGTGTGCATAGTAGCTTTATGCTGGTGCCAGACTTGTGCACCCTTGTTGTCCCGTACCACACAATGTGAACATACAAATGCGCACAAGTGTGGCGCCAGCATTACGAACACTTACAAGAGCATTGTATAGAAAATTTGTGGTCGTATGTGGTTAGTGTGAAAGTTTATATGCAAATCGAAGTGTCTGGTTGTGTTTATACTATATTATTATACTAGTTCTGTCGTATCGTTTCACCCTCGAGCGTCGTTTTAATGTGTATAAACTGCATTCGGTCTTAAATTCGACTGCCATTTCTAGAGATATTATCATCAGCTTTATTATGCACGTAATAAAGTTGAAAATGTACTAAAATAGCAGTGGCTTGTTGTTGTTTGTTAACATTAAAAAGGTGTAACGTCAGACGACTGTAAGTAATGTGAAATCAATACAAGGATGGTTTTTAATAAGATTTTCTTGACAAAAAAGGAAAAACGGTGAATGGAT